CAAAATTTACTAAAAGAAAAAGAAAATTTAGTAAATTTAAAAAAAAATTACACAAGCCGACAAATTTTTAACCCAGAGATTAAGTATACCTTTCTAAATTATGTCAGATGTTAAGCTTTTATTTGTTGACAGAAAGGACTTTCAGATGACATGAAGTTATCTCGATCTCGTGACCGTTGAAGAGCCAAAATTTACCATTTCTCACCTAATTTTGCGATATTGATTTAATGAATTTAGACGCTAAGCAGTGAAGGTTTATCCATCGGGCCTGTAGTAAAATGATTTCAAATATAAGATTTTCACTAACGATATTTCCATTCTGATTTGATCATTTTCCAGCTGGGTACTTTAAACCATGTAAGTATTGTGTGCATATTTTTGCTGCAATAAAATACGTAAAAGCTATAAATCCATGGAGAAATCTTCTTCAACTACTGCATACCTTAAGTAAATGTTCCAAAAATATGGTTTTTACAAATTTGTTTTAAATGTGTTATATGTTGAATTTGCAACATGAGAGACTACAGCCATATGAAGAGTGTAAATACTTTTCCCAGCTAAAACATGGTATTAAGTTGTACTTACCCATCAACTTACTTTTAGATGACTACTACATATCGTTTGCATTACTTAGGAAAAAATTAGTATTTTTGTGTGAAAATTATTAATATATGCAGTGGATGGTATCCTCGTCCGCTATTTATTTTAATAAAACTACTTACTTAACTACTTATTAGCAAGTGATAGTGATAAGTAGTTATTTAACTCCCTATATGTAAGCGAGCGTTATAAGTACTTGCCTGCAATGTCATCATAATGACTTAAAATGCTTTTGTGTAAGTGTAGCATATTAACCCCTTACTGGGCCACAAAAGTTTTTGCTGTGCACTTTTCCCTACTTATTTATAATTACAAGAAGACATAATTTATTTTCATTATAATCTTTTTTATTTCAAGTCGTTTAGTATGTAATGCATGACATTTGCGAAATGTTTAAAATGAAGATATGAATAAATGGCATTATGAAGTTGAAAATCTTTTAAAAATGGATTTCTTAATTGGGTTCAAAAATTTAATTTTTAATGGACATTACAAGTTCATAAAATTTAGGTTGCTTTCCAATTTGTGTCACAGTACCTACAAACTTTGATTTACATTGATCTGACAGGAACAACATGATTTTGATTTTGGACCTGTTGCACATGTGATGGTTCAACGGCAACATTTTTAACTTGTTGTTGTACTCCTTGATCTACATTTTTACGAATTTGAGTAGTAATTGATTGTATATCTGAGGGCTCCTTGGCATTTGGTTTTAAAACAACATGAGTATTAACGATTTGATGTAAACCCTTTTCAGGAATCACAGTTTTCTTCTGGACCTGAGCAACATGTTGATTAATTACTTGTGGTATGTGTTGATGAATTTGTTGTACAATGCCTTGGATGTGAGAATTTACAGCAGATTGTTGTTGGCCAGCTTTCTTTTGAACGACAGCCACATGTTGACTTATAATTTGAGGAACATGTTGATGAATTTGTTGAACAACGTCCTGGACTTGGGAGGGTATTTGTACATTTTTCTTTTGGACTTGTTTGAAGTGCTGTTGTATAACTTGTGGTACATGTTGATGGATTTGTTGAACTATTCCTTGAACTTTGGGAGGAATTACTGGTTCTTGCCCCGTCTTCTTTTGAACTTGATTAACATGTTGTTGAATTACTTGGGGAACATGTTGATGAACCTGTTCAACAATACCTTGAACTTTGGGTGGAATTACTGTTTCTTGTCCGATTTTCTTTTGGACTTCACTAACATGCTGCTGTATTACTTGGGGAACATGTTGATGAACTTGTTCAACAATACTTTGAACATTACTCGGTACTACTGGTTTCTCTTGTACTTCTCTCTTTTGAACCTGAGCAACATGTTGTTGAATTACTTGTGGTACATGTTGCTGAACTTGTTGAACAACTCCTAGGACATTAGCTGGTATTACAGGTTTTTCTTGTGCATCTTTCTTTTGAACTTGGTTAACATGTTGCTGAATTACTTGGGGAACATGTTGATGAACTTGTTCTACAATTAATTGAACTTTAGGAGGAATAACAGTTTCCTGGCTGACCTTCTTTTGAGCTTTATTGACATGTTGTTGAATTACTTGGGGAACATGTTGATGAGCTTGTTCTACAATGCCTTGAACTTTTGGGGGAATAACAGTATCCTGGCCGTTCTTCTTTTGAACCTGATTAACATGTTGTTGAATTACTTGGGGAACATGTTGATGAACTTGTTCTACAACGCCTTGAACTTTAGGAGGGATTACGTTTTGCTGTCCAGCTTTCTGTTGGACTTGGTTCAAATGTTGTTGAATAACTTGGGGTACATGTTGATGAACTTGTTCAACAACACCTTGAACTTTTGCAGGAATATCGGTTTCTTGCGCGTCTTTCTTTTGAACCTGATTAACATGTTGTTGAACTACTTGGGGAACATGTTGATGTACTTGTTCAACGATACCTTGAACTTTAGGGGGAATTACTGATTCTTGATCAAGTTTCTTATGGACTTGATTTTGCTGATGTTGTTGTATTACTTGGGGTACGTGTTGATGAACTTGTTCAACAATACCTTGAACTTTAGGGGGAATAACGGCTTCTTGTTCAACCTTTTTTTCAGCTACAGCAACATGTTGTTGAATCACTTGGGGTACATGTTGTTGAACTTGTTCAACTATTTCCTGAACATGACCGGGAACTTGTACTTCTCTTTTTTGAATCTTGGAAACATGTTGCTTTACAACTTGCGGTACATGAGAATGAATTTGCTTAACAATTTCTTCGACTAGAGTGGGAACTTTAGCTTTATCAGCAACATGTTGCGGAACCTGAGTAACTGGCTTTTCTTTGATTGCTCTAGTTTGTACATGATGTGCCACAACTTGGGGTACATGTTGATGTACTTGTTGAACCACCTTATTAACTTTATCGGGAATTTCCACAGAGGGCTGAACTTTTTTCATAACTTCCTCAGGATTTTGTTGTTGTTGTTGATCTTGCTGTTGTTTTCTTTGTTGGCTAATGACTTGAGGAATATGACTTTCAGCTTGTTGCATTATGTTTTTAACATGTTCCTGTAGTTTCTTAATTTTTTGAACCACAAATGGTGGCACACCTAAAGTGGGAGTGGATACCAAGGGAATGTGTAACTGTTTTTGCTGCTTTTGTTGGGCAACATGTTGCAATACTTGACTGATGTGTGCCTGAATGAATTGCTTAATATGTTGCGGCACTTGTTGGCCATTTACTTTAGGTTGTTCAACTTCTACCTTAAGTTTTCCCTCCTTAATTTGTTGCTGCACTAGAGGAATCTGCTGCTTAACATGTTTAATATGTTGCTCTACAAAATCCTTAATATGTTGAGCTGGCAAACGTTCACCTTGTGGCGCCGCTGGAGTTGTTTGCTCAGCTGCATAGCAACTGCAAAGAAGGGCTGAAATTTATTTTAAAATAAAGTTTAATATTTTGTTTATTTGTTGCATTTCTGCGTAACCTTACCTAATACTATGACAAATCTCATGTTGTAATCTTTCCGAGTCTTTACAAAAGACTGTATGGTTTTGGGTTTTTAAACAACAGTTTTATACCTTTCCGAATTTGTTTGGCCTTTGTAAATTAGTTACTTGGTGAAAATTTTCACTTTATTTTATTCTTTAAATTTTTGTCCCAAAATACATTTTTTTCCTTGTTGTTTTGATATCGTATGCAAATTAACAGCAAGTTATATTTAAAATTAAAATTCCAAACAGTTTCAGTGTTCTTTTAGAAAACAAACGGTTGTATAAAACCGGTTATTGTAAAATGCAACAAACTCCCAAATACTTAAATCATTAAATTTATGTTATTTTAAAAACCTTACAGGTGTCTTAAATTTATTGAAATGCGTTAAAGATGTCTGGCGCTTGTAAAGAATATTTGCCAAATGTATTTACAGTATTGTTCGAAAACTAAGCAAGTTTTATTGATAGTGTGATAAATGTCTTATATGTTATATTTGATTGAAACAGAGAAGGAAGTGGGGATCATAATTAACCACAAAATTATTCTAAAATTTAATGTAGATTGATAAGGAATCAAGGTAATTCTAGACACTATTGAATCGCTTAAGTTTGCTGGAGTTTAGAATAGTTGAGTTTTTATGTTAATTAAGAATTTTTTCTTAAAAGTTGCTTAAATTTCGAACAATACTGTTTATATATTTATAAATAATTGTAGAAATTATGCAATAATTGTTAAATATTTCATCTGTTTCTATATTTAAATAAATATCTTCAAAAAAATTTGTCATAAATTTCTTATAAATAAACCAGTTTGTCTTTAGAATATTAACAGTAACCTAGTTAACTTAAGATAAGATCATTGGAAAAAAAACAACATGAAATTCTTTATAATCTTAACATTACTCAGTAAGTTTCGAAAATTTCCATTACATCTACCACTTCAATTAACAACTTCTTGCAGTTTTCATTTCCCTAACCACTTGCAAAATCATACACATACCCACCGCCTTGCCACCCCATAAATGTGCCTACAGCTGTCCGAACTCTGATCTGACACTATGTGCCACTAATGGCCAGTGTAAGCAGGAATTTCAAGGAGAATGCCTAATGAGTGCCTACAATTGTGAACATCCTCATAAACCGTTTGTTATCATTGAGGATTGGAAGTGCAAACAGAGTGGTGCCGCAAAGTGTAGAGAAAATGAGTTGGAAATTTAATATAAAGGAAAAGTCAGACCTGCAGTTAGATAGCTATAGAACAATAATAACAAACACATACATACTTAGTTTGTATATGGAAATTTTAAATTAATTAGATAAACTTGGTGTAAAGCTGTACCAGTTTTATTATCTTATGATATCTACTACTTGCAGTAGTAGTATGTTGTTAATAAAAGCTTAAAGCTACATCTAAAATTTAGAGTTTTAGACAAAGTAAAAGTTTTGTTTGTTGTTCGAATTATGTTTGTATGCTAGTTAAAGCAAGATCGTCACAACTCTTCATTTAAGATAAAAATTTTAGGGAATAGGACAACTTTTTTCGAAACGGTTTAAGTTTGTGAGAGAGATGGTGAGCGTAAAGCTTTTACATTAACTCCTGCTGCATAAGCTAGAGATCAAATAAGATTTGCAGAACTGCAGGCGTTCCGATTTCAATCCGAAAGCTTTCAGATGTACCTACTTATGGACTTAGGTCATAATGGGTCATTTTTTTTACTTATTTATTACATCAGCTTAGGCTGGTTTTCGGAAGTGGTCTTTTTATGGGGCAAAAGCTAAATTAGGGACCGAACTATTTTGAGCTGATTTAACATTTGCTTTACTTCTTTAATTGAAGTTCTGTTAAAGCGCACCTATTGCTTAACAAAGATAATAGTAAACGTTTTCCATCGGTTTCAACATGTGATTGCCGATTTGTGTGGTTCAGAAATGGTGATTTCGACACGGAAGACAAAGACCACCCATGTCCGTCAAAAAAGTCTGAAGACAAGAAAATGCGGGGCAGTACTCCACGAAGATTGTCGTCAAACTTAACAAAAGCTTGGAAAAATATTCCAAAAGCAAGGAAATTAGGTGCCATAAGAATCGTAATGGATATACTACTTTAATCCGATCGTTTGTGAAGCCCGGCCAACTACACGAATCTATATCAAAAGCCAAATATCCATGGCGTCAAATAATGGTCTATATTTGGTAGAATATGAAATTTTGAAAGACAAATCCCGTATTTTTAAGTTATATGTGGGCTAGATGAATCGTAGACCGTTATTTCCCATTTTTAATTTCAGCCTTCTAGATTTTCCCGTTTGGGCCCAATCGTGATGATAGGGTTCCAGAAATAAACCCTAACATATTGGTGAATATTAAATACAAAATTTGGTACTTTTTGCAGATTCGAAATTTTATTTTTGGTACATTATTTTGTTACTTCAATGGCAAGTAAAACGAGTACCTAAACCTATATCGGATCGAATTCGAGTTATAACTTAGGTTAATACTTAAACTTAATTTTTATACTTTGTTCCTGGGGAAAAACTAGAAAATAGTACTTTTTGTAATAGTACTTGCCTATTAAATTTGTCCATTCTTCTAAATGTATTTTTGTATTTTAATTATATAAATTTTAAAATACACGATCCTAAGAAAAGGGGAATTTTTTGGTACTTTTTATTATCTCAATTGGTACTTTTTAAATATTCTTCGTGGTACTTTTTTCGATTTTTTACGTTCTTTCAAGAGGTAACTTTATGGTCATTTTTTTGCTCTTGTGATAGTATTTTTGCAATTTTCTACAAGTGGTAGTAAAAAAATATATTCTTGTAAATGTTGTTATTGTCTTGTGGATTTTGAACTAATACATTAATTAGGTTTTAACCAAACTAAATTCCACAAAACAAATATATGTTGAAAATATCTTTGAAGACAAGCAGGAGAGTATAGTCGGACATGGTCGATCATGTGATATCCAACATTAATTATGATATAAGTATTTATGATAATAAGGCATTTATGTTCAATTTTCTATCATTATGAACTTCTTCGACGGTTTGGTTGTAGATGCGCTAGGTTTTAAATCATTTGTACCATTCTTCGTTCTTGCTCCTTAACATCGCTTAAACAACTTAGTACCAATATTTTTAGACTTTACAACCATCAGTGTACCACTGATAGTACATTCCCAAGATTAGTGATGTAGGGTATAAAGATTAAGAAAGGTATTTTGTAAAAGCCAATGTTAATGTGTATTTAAGAAGTAAATATTTCTAACATACATTACAAGGCAATAAGCAATAAGATGACTTTACCAAAAAGTTTGACCCCGGTATGCATAAAACAATCAAGAAATTATAACTGTGTATTGAGTACTTTTCCATATAAAAACCTTCTAATAAACTATTGATAACTCTATTAAACCTTTATGAATACATAGTTAAATATTTGCCATTGCTATTAAAGTAGTTGTTTAAAACACTCTCATATTAAAGCAAATACATTTTGACAAATTTTATTTTAATATACACAAAACTTAAATTTACTTTTCATCACTCCAGAGTAAATATTTGTAATTTTAGCAACATAATTCCATTTATTCTATTAAAAATTTAAATTTTAATCTTAAATCTCTATAGTAAACTATTTATGGAAATTAGGAATACATTATATACATATACAAACATACATATATCGAACAATAAAATTTACAATACAAAAATCATTAGCTAAAACCAGCATTTAAAATAAATGACAACCGAATATGTATGTATGCATATTGTATTTAATATAAAAATGAACCCTTATAATTCTAAAAATTAATTTTTAGTTATTTTTCAAAAGTGTGTGTTAGGAACTTGGCGCCAATTAAATGCAAGTGCAAATATGCAAACAAATTGGGTATTTAGTATTGAAAAGTGTTGTTGCAAATATTTACTAAATATTACTACAAATGTAAATATTTAGGAAATTTGGCAAAAATGTACTCATGTATTTACTGAGTTTATAAAATAACAGAAGTAACGACAACAACATAACCACAAACGAAATTCTGAAATAACAAAATGTATAAACTAATTTTATTTTGACAGAAACAATAATTGTTAGTTTTGTTAATTGAAACCGAAGGGTCAGTGGGACCAAAGAGGAAAAATGTAGACGGCACGATTTAAAAACTGAATAACTAACTAACTAACTAACTAACTAACTAACTAACTAACTAACTAACTAACTAACTAACTAACTAACTAACTAACTAACTACTAACTAACTAACTAACTAACTAACTAACTAACTAACTAACTAACTAACTAACTACTAACTAACTAACTAACTAACTAACTAACTAACTAACTAACTAACTAACTAACTAACTAACTAACTAACTAACTAACTAACTAACTAACTAACTAACTAACTAACTAACTAACTAACTAACTAACTAACTAACTAACTACTAACTAACTAACTAACTAACTAACTAACTAACTAACTAACTAACTAACTAACTAACTAACTAACTAACTAACTAACTAACTACTAACTAACTAACTAACTAACTAACTAACTAACTAACTAACTAACTAACTAACTAACTAACTAACTAACTAACTAACTAACTAACTAACTAACTAACTAACTAACTAACTAACTAACTAACTAACTAACTAACTAACTAACTAACTACTAACTAACTAACTAACTAACTAACTAACTACTAACTAACTAACTACTACTAACTAACTAACTAACTAACTAACTAACTAACTAACTAACTAACTAACTAACTAACTAACTAACTAACTAACTAACTAACTAACTAACTAACTAACTAACTAACTAACTAACTAACTAACTAACTAACTAACTACTAACTAACTAACTAACTAACTAACTAACTAACTAACTAACTAACTAACTAACTAACTAACTAACTAACTAACTAACTAACTAACTAACTAACTAACTAACTAACTAACTAACTAACTAACTAACTAACTAACTAACTAACTAACTACTAACTAACTAACTAACTAACTAACTAACTAACTAACTAACTAACTAACTAACTAACTAACTAACTAACTAACTAACTAACTAACTAACTAACTAACTAACTAACTAACTAACTAACTAACTAACTAACTAACTAACTAACTAACTAACTAACTAACTAACTAACTAACTAACTAACTACTAACTAACTAACTAACTAACTAACTAACTAACTAACTAACTAACTAACTAACTAACTAACTAACTAACTAACTAACTACTAACTAACTAACTAACTAACTAACTAACTAACTAACTAACTAACTAACTAACTAACTAACTAACTAACTAACTAACTAACTAACTAACTAACTAACTAACTAACTAACAACTAACTAACTAACTAACTAACTAACTAACTAACTAACTAACTAACTAACTAACTAACTAACTAACTAACTAACTAACTAACTAACTAACTAACTAACTAACTAACTAACTAACTACTAACTAACTAACTAACTAACTAACTAACTACTAACTAACTAACTAACTAACTAACTAACTAACTAACTAACTAACTAACTAACTAACTAACTAACTAACTAACTAACTAACTAACTACTAACTAACTAACTAACTAACTAACTAACTAACTAACTAACTACTAACTAACTAACTAACTAACTAACTAACTAACTAACTAACTACTAACTAACTAACTAACTAACTAACTAACTAACTAACTAACTAACTAACTAACTAACTAACTACTACTAACTAACTAACTAACTAACTAACTAACTAACTAACTAACTAACTAACTAACTAACTAACTAACTAACTAACTAACTAACTAACTAACTAACTAACTAACTAACTAACTAACTAACTAACTAACTAACTAACTAACTAACTAACTAACTAACTAACTAACTAACTAACTAACTAACTAACTAACTAACTACTAACTAAACTAACTAACTACTAACTACTAACTAACTAACTAACTAACTAACTAACTACTAACTAACTAACTACTAACTAACTAACTAACTAACTAACTAACTAACTAACTACTAACTAACTAACTAACTAACTAACTAACTAACTAACTAACTACTAACTAACTAACTAACTAACTAACTAACTAACTAACTAACTAACTAACTAACTAACTAACTAACTAACTAACTAACTAACTAACTAACTAACTAACTAACTAACTAACTAACTAACTAACTAACTAACTAACTAACTAACTAACTAACTAACTAACTAACTAACTAACTAACTAACTAAATGTCAACGCAAATGTTTAGTGATTGAATATTTTTTTAAGAAAATGGCTGTCCTCTTTTAAGGACAAGAAATTGCCTTTCTTTGAGAGGCTATGTTTTTATATAGTAAATGTTGGCTTTCTTTTATGGGGTAGGCATTTTCTACTGTTGTAA